AAAAGGTCAAGGCTGAGGCTCTGTAACTGATTTTATCCTTGTAGAAGTAAGAGAAATGGAACCCTCACCAGAGTGAGGTGTATTCACAGCTAGTTAACCCGACTGTCCCATTTAATACATGCCTTAAGAAGTAAAGCCAAATATAATCTTAGACACATTTTAGTTAGAAAGTTTTGATTGCATACTGTTACGTTTATTTTTATCAGAACAAACTGGGTACAACTTCTAAATTACATTTTGTGATCCTTGATACTAGAGAGCCGTTAGTCACTGAACTACTATATGTATTTTTGAAATTAACAGTGGATTACATACTATAGCAGGCTATAAATTCTTGAAAATACAGTATTTAGGAGCCATTTTTATAAACGGAACCACTTTTAGCATATTTAAATGCCTCGTTGAAGATGATTATTAAATGTATTCACCTTGGTTTCCTGTAAGACTCGATCTGGGTAGAGATGAGTGTTCTTGACAAGCACAGATCTGATTTTGAGAAGCATTTGTGTCTTAAGAGCTCTTTTATTTTTTTCTCCTTAGAGAATTTTGAATCTTTCTTTTGGTTAAATGTGTTTCTTTTGAGAATTGTTTTAGGAATTACCTCTTCATAGCTATGGGCACATTTATCTTTATTATTTAAAAAATGCTTTTTGTTAGATGTTAAAGAAAAAAAAACCACTTTATCTCAAATGTGTCTTGTTCCTATACAGAACTGGTAATGTTTCAAAGCTGTTTCACATACTAGAGGTTTCTGAATTAGGAATTCACATAATAACAAATGCTGCTTATTTTGGTTCCCACAAAGGTTTGTTGTCGGAGCTTAAAATAAGACTGCAGCTGATTCATGTGACACATATTAACTGTTTATTTAGTGTAAGTACATGTCTGTATCTCTCATTTCTGATCAACCTGAAGAATTTGCATGCTGTGCAGCAGCCATCTTCTTTTATACTTTATTAAATATCTGTCAATTATAAATATCAAGGTTTTACATTAATGTCAAGATAGTACATCAAAAATTCATGGAATATGTGACTTTTTCCAAGGGTATTTAATACTTAATGCATTTGTGTCATTTTTCTTTCCAGAGATATTGACAGGTTTTATTAAGTGTTTGTTAGGGAGATTTCATTTTTATCAAGGGACTATAAAGAGAAGCTGCATGCTAAATCAATTTTTTAAAGCCGGAATATTGTTCATTTTTTCATCTTCAAACTCTTGTAATCCATAGGTTTTATGTAAATTTCTTCTTGGTTTATTTTTGTTTTATGTGAGTGATAGTCCAAGACAGAACTTTAATAAGGATCAAATATGCTGACTGTAGTGCTTTTTAATTTCCTTAAGCATAGCTACCAGACCCAGGCAATATGGTAAATTCTTCAAAATGTCATACTTACATATTTAGCAATATTACTTCTTTTTATTGAAGCCAAACAAATGATTTTAGATATTAATCTTCCCCAAACGTAGTGATTATTTTGTACTAGGTACAATATTACTGAGCCTCAGCTGGAATCTCCTGGAGAAGGGAGTGAAGGGTGCCAGGCTCGGCGTAGGAAAACGAACTCCTGGTTTGAAAGCAAGTTCCTCAGGGCTGCAGGTCTGATTATGAGCTGCGGCCGGTGTTCATTTCTGCAGCTTCAAGCGTTTAGAATGCTCAAGAAAGTGAAAATATCAGTCACTTAAAAATGTGCAGAAAAACTGTGGCTGGTTTCCAAAGACATCTTTGAGGGGGTGGAAGGTGGTGGCTGCTGTGGCTGACCCAGGTACCTGCCCCTGTTGGGCCCCGGTGCCGGGGAGACCCTGTCACTGTCTGTCACTGTTGTCTCTCTGACATGAACCCCTCACTAAAGCGAATTGGCCACAAAGTGGAAGCTTTCTGGTTTCATGTACAATTTTATTTTTAAAGTACAGGTTAGTCACGTGTCTTCTGTTGGAGAAGGCATGTCATGATAAACAAAACCCCTACAGGATGTTGCTCTGCAAAGTGAGGCGTGTTCAGTTAGCCTTCCTATGAAGGGTGAGCTCAAAGGCTGTCATCTAAACACTCTAGGAACTTGCAGGTAACTTCAGGTTAATAGGACATTTTTTAGAAGATGTATTTTTAAACCTTAACTTGGCCTTCAACAGGGAAAGACTTGGTATTTAAACAGAAAAAATCATTCTGTCCATCGTTGTTTTTGTTTTTGTTTTAAATCACTCTGTCCAAAGCTTAAAGAGTGTTTGGAATACACATTTTTCTTATTCTTGTTCATTTTTTCAGGCTATGTGAAAATGTTTCTTTTCAAAGTTAAATGTTTTTCACAGGCAAATCACTTTCAATCTTTGAATGTTTCAAGATCCTTGTAAAACTACTATATGATAACTTTAAGAGGTAGGGTAGGTATTGTAGAAACCAGATTTTGCTTGAGCAGAGCTGAAGTCGTAGTCATTGTAGATAAAGCCCGTCTTGGTTTGTGATAAGTTGCGATGAAGGCCTTCCTTGCCCTGGGAGAGAATTCAGGAACCGTGCAACTGCAACCAATTTACCATGACACCAGTAGGTGGCGGTAGTGTCACAGTTGTGAGAGCCCTGTTGAAATGAAAGTTACTTGCCATTCCCCATAGTGTCACATTTTGCTTCAGTATAACTGTTAAGTGCATGTGTCTGTGGCAGAATTGCTTTTTATATCAGAATTACGTACATTAGGCACACCCTATTTTTTAAGCAGATAAGAACAACTATTTCTAACAGATTAAATATTACATAACCCCACAGCCAAAATAATCTTAATCTGAAGAAAGCATTTGTGCATCTTTTCTTGAGTTTTCTTTACAACTTCATCAGGACTGTGAGCATGAAGCTATGTTTTCGGTAAGAAATGTATATAAGTAGTAGGAAGAGAAACATCTTGGAGAGTGAAGTTTTCATGTTTTCAGTCCTTGAGGAGGAGGTTGTTTGAACCGTCGCTGTAGTGTCCAAAGCTGTTTGAAGATCTTTGAGTTGGAAGATTCTTCCTCAAGTCATTTTAGCATTCAGCATTCCAATTTTGAGATTTCTCATCTTTTCTGCTATTCAATAAGTCAAACTTTTGGGTAGAGGGGTGCGGATCAGATTTTGAATACTTGGGGGATTTCGCATTGGAATTTACCAGCTTTCAAAATATTCTTGGGCATTCCACAGTTTAAATGAATTAAAGTATTTAAAGTAAGAAAAACAACAATGCTCTTCCACCTCCTAGAGTTTGCAAAGAGGTAGGATGTGAACACTCCCAAGTAGATCGGATGTGAAGTTTCATTTAATTGTAAGTGAAAGGAAATTTTAGCGACAGAATGCTGAAGTTTTTCTGTGGTACTTTTTACCATAAAATCAGTTCTAGGTAGAGGGACGGTTCTTATCTGCTGAATTTGTACTTTTTTGAGGAAAAACCTGAATACTGTTGTGGTTAGGTTTCCTAATTCAGTGGAAAGCATTTCAAGATGCTCAGGACACAGCCCAGCGTTTCATTTGTTACAAAGAAGAGGCATTAAGCAGCCCCAGCCTCGTAGACTCTGGCATCTTCGCTATGGCTGACCGTGGTATCAGTTTTTTTTTTTTAACCCCAAAGATAGGATTTCCTGATATTCCCGTAGCAGCTAGAAAACGCCCCAGGGCAATATGCTATTTTATATATTGACTTAAAAACGCTTTCTTTAATTTCATTTTGATGATCACAGCCGTTAAAAATCAATGTGAATATATTTTTATACGTTGACTTCTTCCAAAGGGTTAAAACTGGGCCGAGGATTAGAGGGGAGAAGCGGGCACCTGGGAGCTAACACCCAATTGGCAGCCTTTTGTAATATATAATTTGCCTAAAATTGCGCACTGAGCACAAGCTTTTGTTTTCTAATTGATTTACGGTTTGAGCCACTTTTACCTCATCCCCTACTGTCCTGCGCACGGTGCCAGCGAGTACATTACAGAGAGCGATGATAAATCACTGTGCACTTGTGATGCTAATGCGTCAAGAGTAAAAACTGCACACTACATGGAGTTTCATGCATTAACAGTGTGCAGACACAGTACAGCAGGATTTCATTTGTATCTCAGGAATAACCATTTGTTCATTTGATCGCTCGCTGCAATCTGTCTATCAGACTGTAATTGAAACTGAAGATTAAAATTATACTGTTACAGCTTTTAATTTCTTAATTGAGACAAAGTTTTTAAGTGCTTGAAAGGCCTAAGGTGCAGGGCTGCGGGGGGAGCGTTGTGGAGACAGAATATGAAATGTATAAAATTTTTCTCGCAAGTGTGAAGTTTTGGATATTTTTACCAAATGTTCTTTTGTCCAGGAAAAAAAAAAAGAGTAGTAAAATTTAAGTATGCCGATCTCTCTGTTTTGAATCTGTTTGTAAAATTTATTTTTTAAATTTGCAAAACTATATTTTTCTTGATCTTTTTTGTCCTGGAGCCACACTTAACCATGTGTATGATTCATTTACGCAAACCAAGCTGATTCCCATCCAAATGATTTAAGTCGAAGATAAATGAAAAGAACTTTCCATTTATTAGAGTGCCTTTAATTGTCCCTTTTATTGATATAAGAAGAGATTTGAAATCTATGCATAAGGGTTATGAAGGGATATGCAGTACCTGATGGCAGAAGACACAAAGGGAGGCCGGGCTGGACACCCGACTTTGGGGGGGGCTCTGGGTTTCTGTTTGGGGGGCGTGACTACCTTTTGTGAAGTCAGTCTACCTTAAATTTTATTTTTGCGCCCGTGTCTGTGGGTTCTAGTATCAAAATGGGAAGCAGCAGATTTATGGCGGCTGCTGGGCACAACAAATTAAGTTGACAGTGATGTATGAGAGCGTAATAGCATGATGATCCCTCAGTAGCGCCGCTGGACGCCGCCTGCTGCATTTGGCTCTTGTTAGGATCTGTTAGGCAGCTAAATAATGAAATTCTGCTGACTGACTTCTGTTTTCTCTTTTTCTCTTTTCACCTCTGCTTTCTAAAACTTGTAATTCCCAGACCCATCCTCATGCCAACAAACTGCCCTTGAAGGATTCTTTCACTTATGAGGACTACAGGTTGGTTGGGGTGTGGGGTGTGTTGTGTGTGTGTCTGTGTGTCTGTGTGTGTTGAGGTGTCTGTGTGTCTGTGTGTGTTGGGTGTGTATGTGTGTGTCTGTGTCTGTGTCTTGGGGGTAGTTCCTGAGTGAATTTGGGATGTTGGAAGGGAGACATGCTTCAGGAAGAAATGACCTGTGTGGCCATGTAAAGCCTCCAGACGGCGATAGTCTTTCAGAAGTTATAATGGACAGCTGGGATAAGTGTCAGCATTTTAATGGCTATGTAGAAATTGCCATTAACCTGTAATGGTAGGGGATCAGTTGAGGCAGCCAGCTGATATTGGAGATTAACATTAGTGTGGGGTGGTCATGAGGATTTTGTTTTCTTTTTAAATAGACACTTTTAGTGTAAAGTGGGACTCCTTTTTGAACAAGATTTAATTCACTGCACAACATAATAAAAAATAGCACTCCACATTTTGTAGAGTTCTTAGAGGACTTCTGATCAGAAAGGAGTTACGTTTTGTACCTTAAACGAGGTTCAGAGTCAGCATTTGGGTAGAAGAGGGTGGAGCTGGGTTGGGGGAGGGGGTCGTGCAGCAGCGAGACCTTGGGAGGCCTGGAGATCTCTGTGTAGGGCCCTCCTCCCGGCCTCTTCCCCAGAGCAGCCTCCCTTAGTTGCTCACCCCTGGCTTCCCTCTGGCTCCCCTTTTCCTTTCCTTTCCCCCTTCCCCCTCTCAAGCCTGGATTTAATTTTAAACGATGGCGAGGAAGCCCAACCATCAGCGTTGGTACTTAGGAAAAGGTTTTAAAAATTAGGAAAAGGTTTTGAAAATTCGTGAGCAGCCAGGCAGACCTCAGGTTCCAGTTGAGTTGTTACAGCCGTGGGCTTCACGTGTTCTGAGTGTAACTCACCTCTTCTCTGGTTGTTCCAGGTGGGCAGTCTCTTCTGTTATGACACGACAAAACCAGATTCCCACGGAGGACGGCTCCCGGGTGACCCTGGCGCTGATTCCCTTATGGGACATGTGCAATCACACCAACGGCCTGGTAACGACCCCCTCTGTGTGTTGTGTTTAACGGGGGAGGCTGTGGTTAAGCTTGAAAGTGGCCATTCCACCTACAAACCATTTTCCCCGCTGACTGCCTCCTCCAAAGGGAACAAACGCCCTCCTGCCGCCCACAAATAGAGGCTGATCTTTTTCTCTCCCTGTGTTTACTTAATCCTGGAAACCGGGAACTTGAATCTTACATCACTTTAAAAAAACCACAGCGAGCTGCATTTATTTGCTAAGCCATAATTCCAGCCTAAACATTCATTTTCTTATCTTATTGAACCACAGACTAAACCAAACTTTCTTTTTTCTTAGTCTTGTGAAAATAGCAATTTATTGAAAAAAACCTTTCTTCTTTCTGATTTTTCCTCGCACGTTCCATGTTTTCTCCCTTTGCTGACTGTATTTCCGGTTACGCACGGTTCTCTGATCCCTTGCCGGCCCCCCTCTCTCACCTGACATGCTGACACTGACACGTCTTGGCCCGGTTACTGACCTGCTTTTGTTTGGGAGCGGGTCCTGGACTCCTGGAGTCGGGGCCGGAGGACGCTGCACTTGGGCTTTCCGCGCTCAGCCTGGAGTGCAGGACCCAGCTGGCAGCGTCAGATGTGGGAAGCGCTGGTTGGGAGACATTAAGAAAATAGGGAAATTTTGTGATGATGGTTAAATACACTGAGATGCGGAAAAGGAGGAAGCCTGCTCCCTGCTTCTTAGCATTCTTTGGATTCCAAGCAACAAAGGACGTGGCCGGCTCTCTGCTGAGACGCGCATTTGAGGACGATTTCCTGATAGCAGTAGATAGAAGTGTGACCAACTTCACAACATTTTGAATTTTTAAACATTATACTGGTTTGGTTAATTTTTTTTGATCATCCTTTCTCAGTGTTAGCTTTCTTTGTTATTATTAGCAGTATTATAAATAGACTGGGAAAATGCTGTAAATGACTGTTTCACATCTAATTCTACAAAGTGGCCAGCACACAGGTAATGTGTGCCAAACACTTATGATAGAGCACCCTGGCGTTCACTGGGGAAGGGCTAGCAACAAGTACACTATTAAATTGTAGAGAAAGACTAGTTCCACTTGTATAATTATGTTTTTGCCTTAATTTAATATGCTTAATTTAATTAGCCATTTTAAGGCATAGTACCGTATTTTATTTATTTTCATTAATGAATTTGATTGAACTTAAAAATTTTTTCCAGTAGCTTTTAGTATTTGACTATAGTAGTTTTCTTTTTTTTTTTTTGATTAGATCATTGATTCCCAAACTTGATAGATCCTTAGGGTTTATTTTTTTATTTCTAAAGTTTAACAAGTACGTACTTTACTATAAACGCACAAAACCGATTAAACAGCACAGAAACCTCTGCTGAGGTCCCCCCCCCCCATGCCTCCCGGGCTGACGGGTGCACAGGCCTCTCCCACCCTGTGCTGTGCATTTGAACCCTCACACACTCACAAGCACACACTGGTTTTTGTGTTGCTTTCATGTAAATGGGATTGAATGATTTTCTAATACTGTTCAGAAAGTCGTTAACTTCCCACAGGCCTAGTGAAACCTCGCTAACCTTTGGAAGATTTCTACAGGATGGTAGTGCTTTCCTTATGGTGGTGATTCGCCCTGCATAGGTAACTCAGCACCACTGGGGAACTGTCCCCTGTAATCGCAGTACTTCATGGGAAATTTCGTCTGGTAGAATTTAAGAATCTATTTTAACACTATGAAGTTGTATATTATATGTATTAACAGTTAATCTCTTTTTAAAAATAAGGTGCTTGAAGTTAAGGCTCGGCTTTTCAGACAGATTTCCTTTTGTGAGTGTGTCTATCCTGACAATTGTTGTCTGTCTATTCTGACTCTCACTGAGAGAGAGGAGATAGAAATTTGTATCCCGGCAACGCTGTGTGCTTCGAACAATGTCCCAAAAACCTGGTTATGGGAGTAGAAATGGAAGAATCAGTCTGTGGCAGTAATTTCAACCCAGTAGCAGCGAGAAGCAGCAGAAGGAAGTAAGAGGCTGGACGAATACCTGGGCCAGAGATCCTGGCGAACGTGAGCTGATGCCCACGCCACGCAGAGAAACCGATTCAGACAAGTTTACAGACACAGTATTAAGCTGTAAGAAATAATACGCCTTTAAGTGCTGCACGACTTGTTCAAAACTAACATAAGCAGCAGGCCTCCTTTCTTGAGGCTGTTCAGTTTGCACAGAGAAGGACACTTGTAAGTGGTTTACAGGCCATTGTGTTAGCTCCAGCAGGTAAAGTGTGTGGGAATAATCGGCCCTGGTGTTTGAATATGTGACTACAGTCAGGGTGAAGGAGCATTGGAACGCTCACACAGAATTAAGCGAGGCTCCTTTTCAAGGTCTTTCTGTCTGAGTACTGAAAAATCTAAAACATTTAGATTGACATGAGGCTTCCAGTCTCCAAGTAAAAGCCAGGTTTATACAAAGGCAGACAAGACCCCCTGCCCAGCCTGTCTCCATTGCACACATAGGCTTGGTCCCCTGCGGTTCCGCAGACACCAGCACAGCCCACCTCAGGGCCTTTGCACATGCTGTACCCGCCTCCGAAACATTGTTCCTGGGATCACTAACAACAGGACTACTCAGAGACCTCTTCTAGCGAGGCCACCCTGAGCGCCCTGCACAAAATCCACACCTCGCCTCCCATGAGCCTCCCTTCCTGTCCTGTTGTCTTTCCTCCTATATTTCTACCTATTTATTTTTGTACTGGCGGCCCTCCCCGCTGCCCCCTCTGGGCCCACTTCCCCTGACTTCCTTCTTGTCCCTTCACGCTCCTGTCAGGTCCCTGTGAAGCCACACTGGAGAGCCAGACTTCTAGGGCTGGGAGTTGACGGGCAGTTCCTGTTCCATACCTTATTATCAAGGTCATGTTTGGAGTCAGAAAAGTGAATTTTTTTTTTTTTTAAATGTTGGGCAGGAACTTCATGGAGCTGATTTTATCAAGTGTTCAAGCTGTTCTGTGAGTGAAAGTGTTCAGCATACCTGGCTTCTCGTTGTTGCTTTCAGATTTCTCGTTGGTCTTGCTGATCAGAAGTATGAAGGATTTCTAGATGTGTGGTTAATAAAAACCATTGCTTCTGGGGGGGGGGTTGGGGTTAAAGATTAGTGTTATGTGGCGTTCGATCCCAGAATGCCATTCCCTGGACTCAACATATTTATCTTTTGGACCCAAGCTGTTGATACTATTATTAGCAAGTAGCACTTGTCAGTCTTGAATTTTGATTCTCTAGGATAAGATGAGGAAGTCAGAAGTAATTAATGAGCATTCATAGACAATCTTAAGAGATTGGGGATAGGGAAAGGAACAGGCTCCTGAGAAGGATATTCTAATATAAATTGGGGGTCCTGTTCTTTTCCGGGGGGGTTCACGCATCACGTAGGTCTCAGAGGTCAGTGTCAGGTATTAGGCTTGCTAAGCACCAGAGGCAGAGGTGAAAGTGGAACGCCGGGCCTGACTGGTGGGGGCAGGTGGGCACAGACAAAGCACCTGGGGAGTCACCTGGTGTGGGGCCGGGGTGTGAGCACAGGTGACTGAGGCTCGGATGAGGGCTCAGGAAGAAACGGGAACAGAGGCAGTCCCAGGCACAAGGGAGCCAGAACGGTGGCCGGTGTGGCAGGCCAGTGTGTGTTGCCGGNCCTGAAGTTGCCAGCAGGCCTCTAAATGCCAGGCATTCTATTAGAGTAAATAACACTGCAAACAGAATCTGCTTAAGTCCCAAATGTTCTTGCCTGGGCTGAAGGGAGGCCTGGTAAACTGGACTTGCTCAAGAATTTGCAGCGGCACCAGAAGGTTTCAGACAGGAGGTCAGCTCGGTAATGTCGCCAGCGATGCAGGAGCGACAGTGCTGGCTTTGGAGACCAGTTGGAAGCTTTTTGCAAATGCTAAGCTAGGCAGTAAAGAATTAAGCCCTCAGAAGGGGGATAAAAGAGCCCAAGGATAACTTAGGAGATAAAATGCCACCAGCTGAGGTGCGAAGAGTTTCTTTGTGACTCTTGTGCCATGACTCGAGGTTGCCTGTTCCCCAGTAGGATAGGAGAGGTTAGGAGATGTAATTAGTGGGGTTTTTGCATTTATTGTAATGGGCTTAGAAACTCTCACAATATAGCTCTCAGCAGAAAGAAAATGAATAGGATACAACTATTTTCCTTTGCTTATCTGAAAGTTTTCATTTCTCTAATTTCAGAGTAATATATGTACATAATTCAGAAACCGCTTTTCTTTTCCCGATTCTTTATCCAAAGGAAAACCTACTTCAGTTTCTTAAAGGCCAAACATTAGATAAAGACAATATTTGCAAGTCAATTAGAGTTCTCCGGAGTCCTAAATCCGACTGTGGGGGGCAAATGCCACAGCATTGCCCCCTGGGGGGGGCCTCAAAGGCAGTAACTCGGTAATAAATGGTTTATGTTTGGTGAGACCGGCAAGTGATAATCTGTACAACACATTTACATCCTCTCCTTCAGGTATGGAATCTTCCATAAGAATTTCTGGTGTAAATAGTATTAATTAAAATAACGTAGCATTTCTTCACTCGGTTTTACGAAGTACGCACAATGCACCCCTTTGAGTACTTGGAATAGCTTTTATTCTCTAATTGTCAAAAAAAGAAAAAAGGCCTCCTGAGTGAGCGACCCTGGTCATCTTGGGCTTCTTGTCATCTCCAGATCACCACTGGTTACAACCTGGAAGACGACCGCTGTGAGTGTGTCGCCCTGCAGGACTTCCGGGCCGGAGAGCAGGTGGGTCCCAGTGTCTGCCAGTGGGCTGCCTGTGGGCCCTGAGTTAACACCGTGCTGGTAATTTACAAAGGCGTCTAACTCAGGCAGAAAATCTTGGGGCTTATATTCAGGATGGTTTGGGAATACATCTTGAGACCTGAAGCTGCTATAAACATACTGAGCTTTGCGTTGGACCTTTGGATCCACAAAGAAAAAAGATTTAAGTGCAGCCATTTGCACCATTGACCTAATATTTGTAATCACCTAAAATTTGTAACTGAAAAGAAGCTTTGTTGTTCCAGCAGGAGAACAAATTTTTCAATTTTATAAACTGCATTGCTGTCATTTCTTTCTCTTTTGACTAGAACCTTCTTTATAAAGAAGCAGTTTATTTAAGTGGCAAAAACACAAGGGAATCAGGAACCATAAGATCTATCATCTTGTGCTTTCCCTTTAATCTGAATTTTTAGTCGAATAACTTGGGCAGGGGCAAGATTAAGCCTTTCAGTATGTTTGAAAACACGCACCTGTAAAGGCCTGTGCTTTGTCAGTTGTGTGACCGAGCAGATAATACACAAAACCCAGAGCTGACGTTCCAAATGAGACAAAATGAAAAGGCAAGTCTAGCCAAGTACTGATCTCTCCCTGCAGAAAAGTTCATAAAACCCCCTGCTGGTTGCAGAAGGGCCAGAGGACCTAGAAAGGAATTCCTCACAGATAAGTGCTTTAAATTCCTGCTCCAGAAGAGGAGAGGAAGAAGGTGGTGAATTTTAAAGGGCACTAGAAAAGCGATAGCCTTGCTCTCCCTCAAAAGGACAGGCTGGTGAGGGAGGCCTGGGGACCCCAGGTACAGACTCCTTTCTGTACCAGGAAGGCCCCTGTGGGCAGCGGAAGTGATGCTTATACTCACCATCTCAGACAGTTGGGGAAGTTGGGGAAATTGCACACCTTGCCAAAACTTCACCGTAGCTACACATGATGTCCCGACTAGGTGTGTGAGCACTTCAGAGCTGTTTTGTCGCATTATGTATATGAGAATTGATCCATTGTCCTGCTCTGTGTTAAGAATGGATGTTAAGTTTCTTTTATGTCCCTTTATTTTTTCTTTACTGCATCTCAGATTTACATTTTTTATGGCACTCGGTCCAATGCAGAGTTTGTGATCCACAGTGGTTTTTTCTTTGACAATAATTCACACGACAGAGTGAAAATAAAGCTCGGAGTGAGTAAAAGTGACAGGCTGTACGCCATGAAGGCCGAGGTCTTGGCTCGTGCTGGCATCCCCACGTAAGTAGAAAACAATGGTCAGCTCTTCCCTGTGGTTTGAAACATGTCCAGCTGCATAATGTTTAATTGGTGTGTTAATAAAACTTCTCTACAGTAGTTTGTCTTAATCCCTTCATCCCTGTTACGCAGCACATTGAAACCCTTGAGATGCGTGGCAATTGACCCGCGTTTTCAGATAAACATAATCGTGTTGCTGGGAGCGTTCAGCCAGTTCTAGGGGGTGTGGCCTGAAATCCTCATTAAGTAAAATTAGTGCTTTGGCATCATTAATGTCTTTCACCTTGAAAAGGTTAATAACCTGGTCAATTTGTTTCATTTAATTCTTGGCCACCATTAGTTTCTGTAATGAAGTCATGGTCCTCAGCAATTTCGAGAATTTCTGGTTAAATTCTTTAAGGTTATTTTGCATTTGAGGTGCACAATGATAAAGAAGAAGAATTATGACTTATTGGTTCTCCCAGGAATGGAGGAACCATTCTTAATGAAAATGGATTAGGCAGGCCTTTTTTTATTGAACTTGTCAATATTTGATTAATGATTAAAATGTGAACTCAACATAAATTATTGTGAACATATTTTAAGAACCACGGGCATGCTTAATTCTCGTAACGTGTTGTGTGCAGCCTGAGATTAAGGCTGTTAGACTGTAAGAATTGCAGTCAGAGGTGGTTACAGCCATCCTCTTGGTCAGCCAGGCCTCCTGTGTGTTGCAAGGACCGAAAACAGTGCTTACATGCTTGAGACGAGGCGCTGGAGCAACTCGGGCTGGCTCTGTGCTCCTTGGGGACGACCACGGGTTGTAGACGTAAGGGATGGCTTTCCCTTTGGCGCAGGGAGGTGACTGTTGCAGTTGACTGACCTCCTTCCTGCTTTGTCAGTTCCAGTGTCTTTGCCTTGCATTTTACGGAGCCGCCCATCTCTGCCCAGCTCCTGGCTTTTCTCCGAGTATTCTGCATGACCGAAGGTAAGACAGGAAAAAAAAGATGTTCACTTTTTTTCTAATTCAGGAAAATATAAAGCGTCGGGATTCAGATTAAAGATAAAATTGCTGAAAACCAAAGTACTTTTTGGGAGGAGGTAAGATGGTAATGTTGGAGAAATAAAAAATTGATCTATTTTACCCTAGAAATGCTTTATTAAATCCTCGGTGTGCTATCAGTATTTGTTTGTAATAAACAGATAATTCTCTACTGCATTGGAAGAAAACTTAAAAGATCTTGGATTGTCTAACTATCAAAATTCTACATTTTAATTTAATTTATTTTATTTTTAAATTTTTATTTTTTATTAGTTTCAGGTGTACAAAACAATGTACTAGTTAGACATTTACCCTCCTCACAAAGTGATAGCCCCCTTTCCCCAATCTACTACCCCTTTGACATCGTATATAGCTGTTACAATACCATTGACTATTCCCTAAGCTGTACTCCATATCCCGTGTGTGTGTGTGTGTGTGTGTGTGTATATACATATATATAAAATTATAATTGACACTCAGCATTATTCAGCTTCAGGTATACACTGCAGTGGTCAGGCATGAAGATGGACATGTTTAATGTGCTTGTTGCCCAAGCCTGACAGAGCCTAATTTCACTCACAGTGTACTAATACCTTTCATTCGCCGGAGAAGTGGATGATCAGCTGATCCTGAAGTCACGTGGCCAGCAGTGGCGTGTGTGGGCCACTTCATTTGGTAGCCGACTGTTCTGAACCTGAAGTTGCCAGCAGGCCTCTAAATGCCAGGCATTCTATTAGAGTAAATAACACTGCAAACAGAATCTGCTTAAGTCCCAAATGTTCTTGCCTCCAGCCTCTCTGTTCAGGCACAGAAAGAGTTAAACATATGTATTGGGCACTGACTTTTATGTTTGCTTAAGTCAGGCATTTGGGGTTTCTTCCTGAGGTTTGGCCGGTTGTAATTGTGTTTTCATTTTTCATCCGAAACTGCTGCTCCACATCCCCGGTGCTGAGGTTTCATTGTGTGAGTGAGTGTG